GCTCGAATATCACCAGGCGCATGTGTGTGCGTGCTCAGAATCCCAGGAGGAACGCAGAAGAGGAGGTACTGTGGCATGTCCATCTACCCCCACACAGGGAGGGAGGGATTTCTCACTTTTTCTCTATCTCTGTCCAGCAAGCACACACATCGTATAGGAATAACTCCGGGGGGCGGGGGGGACAGCTCTTCAGTTAGTTGCCAAGATGTGGCAGGGAAGGGTCCTATCTGAGACTTTCTTTTCTTCTTTTTCAGAGAAATTTTTTACTATAAGGAATGTGCACCTGACAGAGACAGAGGCGAAGTGAGAAGTCACCCCCTGGGAGGGTGACCATGCACAGTCCCTTCTCCATTCTCCTCTCCGGACTCTGAGCAGGCACACACATGCACCTGGTATGAGTGTCAAGCCTCCAGGCCTGGGGCTTGAACCACTTGACTCCACGTAGGAGCCCACCCAGCATCTTAACCACTACGCCATCTGCTGGCCCCGAGACTTATTTGTAATGAAAACCAACGCCTTCGCAATTTTCACTTCCAACACAAGCCAAGGACCTCGGAGCATCTGGAATCCATCGTCCTCCCTGCAAACTCCTGTGCTCTGTCGCCCCGCAGGTCTTCCTTCTGTCCCCAGGGCACCCACTCAGTGCAGACCCGGCTCCCTTCAGCTGCTCTCGGCTCCTGTGCGCCAGGCTGAGTGATCAGGGTACCCGAGCAGCGCCGTGTACTTGGGCACTTGCCACCTCCTGGAGGTGGCCAATTCTGTCCTCGGCCTTCTCAAAATCTCTTTTGAGGAATATTCGTACTGATATTTCTTAGAGTTCTTTGAAAGTATCGTTCCATTGAATTCTGGCGTTTAGTTTGCTGAGAAATCTTCTTTGAAAGTAAAACTTGGGGCTGGCCCGATGGCCTGCTGATTACGGGGATCAGCTCACACGTGGCCAACTGCATGGTTCGAGTCCCAACCACAGAGGCTTGAAAACGCGTGTGCATGCCCCGAATCCTAGCAGGATGGAGAAACGGAGATCACCAGGTGGCCACACCCCACTGGGGGTGCTTTCTCCCTCTCAGTCACAAAAATATTTACCGAAAAAATTTTTCCAGTAAACTTTATTTTCTTCAGGCTCCTAATTTCCCAGCAGTCTTACCACGAAGTAGCAGGCGTGGTTTTCTGTGCCGTGTGCCCTGCTGAGGTCGAGGGCGTGACTCCCACCAGTTCCTGCGGTCATCCTGGCCCGGCTCCGGTCCAGTCCGGATGTTCTCGGACGCCCTGCTCACCCACCCTCCCGTGCTGTGTCCGCCCAAGCACTGACTTCTCGGTCTCGGGCTGACTTCTCGGGCTCGGGCGTCTCTTCCAGGTCTAGGCTTTGTCCAGACTCCAGGTCTCTGCTCTCTCTGTGGCCACGTTAATCGAGGCTGCTGCGAGGTCAGATGACGCTCACTGCCTGACCTCCCAGAGGCTTGCTCAGATCCCCTCATTTTCAGTCCACATGTGCTTTGCGTCATTATGTTTAAGACTTACAAGAAAATCACAGAAACCCCTGGAAACTAGCTGTTGACCCCTAGAAGGATCTGCTCCTGCCCGGGCGGCCCACTCGCCCCGGCTGGACTTCTGCCCCAAGGACAGGTTCATGGCCAGCTCCCACGGCTCCAAGTACAGCCCCTTCGGGTCCCACAGGAGGCCTGGAGCGTGCCAAGGTCACGCTCACGTGGGTCCTAAACTCTGGTTTCTGTTCCCACAAGTCCTCTGAACTTGTCCTCCGACCTGCACGGGTGCAGCCTCGCCTGCGCTTCTCGACAGCCCCCGCCGCCGAATGCCTACGTTACCCTGACTTCTAACTTCCGTCCTCAGACGAGCTGGCCCCCTCTGACTCGTTACCACAGGGCTGAGGGTCTGGAGAGTGGCCTCGGGGTCACACCTCGGTCCTCTCTGTAGCTGGGTGACCTTGGCCGAGCCGTCCGGTCTCATCTGGAAAGGGCAGTGACAGTGTGCCACCCTACGCTGGGCCACTTTGAGGACTGTTTAAAATACACAGAGCATTCCCCACAGAGCCCAGAGTGTGGCAAGTCCAGGTGCTGGCCGTGCCTGCTTCGAGAACGTTCTACACTGTCAGATCACTGGCCGACAGCACCGTGCGGCGCCCCGCCAACCTGACAGAGACAGAGGCGAAGTGAGAAGTCACCCCCTGGGAGGGTGACCATGCACAGTCCCTTCTCCATTCTCCTCTCCGGACTCTGAGCAGGCACACACATGCACCTGGTATGAGTGTCAAGCCTCCAGGCCTGGGGCTTGAACCACTTGACTCCACGTAGGAGCCCACCCAGCATCTTAACCACTACGCCATCTGCTGGCCCCGAGACTTATTTGTAATGAAAACCAACGCCTTCGCAATTTTCACTTCCAACACAAGCCAAGGACCTCGGAGCATCTGGAATCCATCGTCCTCCCTGCAAACTCCTGTGCTCTGTCGCCCCGCAGGTCTTCCTTCTGTCCCCAGGGCACCCACTCAGTGCAGACCCGGCTCCCTTCAGCTGCTCTCGGCTCCTGTGCGCCAGGCTGAGTGATCAGGGTACCCGAGCAGCGCCGTGTACTTGGGCACTTGCCACCTCCTGGAGGTGGCCAATTCTGTCCTCGGCCTTCTCAAAATCTCTTTTGAGGAATATTCGTACTGATATTTCTTAGAGTTCTTTGAAAGTATCGTTCCATTGAATTCTGGCGTTTAGTTTGCTGAGAAATCTTCTTTGAAAGTAAAACTTGGGGCTGGCCCCATGGCCTGCTGATTACGGGGATCAGCTCACACGTGGCCAACTGCATGGTTCGAGTCCCAACCACAGAGGCTTGAAAACGCGTGTGCATGCCCCGAATCCTAGCAGGATGGAGAAACGGAGATCACCAGGTGGCCACACCCCACTGGGGGTGCTTTCTCCCTCTCAGTCACAAAAATATTTACCGAAAAAATTTTTCCAGTAAACTTTATTTTCTTCAGGCTCCTAATTTCCCAGCAGTCTTACCACGAAGTAGCAGGCGTGGTTTTCTGTGCCGTGTGCCCTGCTGAGGTCGAGGGCGTGACTCCCACCAGTTCCTGCGGTCATCCTGGCCCGGCTCCGGTCCAGTCCGGATGTTCTCGGACGCCCTGCTCACCCACCCTCCCGTGCTGTGTCCGCCCAAGCACTGACTTCTCGGTCTCGGGTGTCTCTTCCAGGTCTAGGCTTTGTCCAGACTCCAGGTCTCTGCTCTCTCTGTGGCCACGTTAATCGAGGCTGCTGCGAGGTCAGATGACGCTCACTGCCTGACCTCCCAGAGGCTTGCTCAGATCCCCTCATTTTCAGTCCACATGTGCTTTGCGTCATTATGTTTAAGACTTACAAGAAAATCACAGAAACCCCTGGAAACTAGCTGTTGACCCCTAGAAGGATCTGCTCCTGCCCGGGCGGCCCACTCGCCCCGGCTGGACTTCTGCCCCAAGGACAGGTTCATGGCCAGCTCCCACGGCTCCAAGTACAGCCCCTTCGGGTCCCACAGGAGGCCTGGAGCGTGCCAAGGTCACGCTCACGTGGGTCCTAAACTCTGGTTTCTGTTCCCACAAGTCCTCTGAACTTGTCCTCCGACCTGCACGGGTGCAGCCTCGCCTGCGCTTCTCGACAGCCCCCGCCGCCGAATGCCTACGTTACCCTGACTTCTAACTTCCGTCCTCAGACGAGCTGGCCCCCTCTGACTCGTTACCACAGGGCTGAGGGTCTGGAGAGTGGCCTCGGGGTCACACCTCGGTCCTCTCTGTAGCTGGGTGACCTTGGCCGAGCCGTCCGGTCTCATCTGGAAAGGGCAGTGACAGTGTGCCACCCTACGCTGGGCCACTTTGAGGACTGTTTAAAATACACAGAGCATTCCCCACAGAGCCCAGAGTGTGGCAAGTCCAGGTGCTGGCCGTGCCTGCTTCGAGAACGTTCTACACTGTCAGATCACTGGCCGACAGCACCGTGCGGCGCTCCGACACGCGCTCTGTGCGGGCCGGGCTGCGAGAGCACCCCCCGCCCCCGGGTCTCGCCTGTCCGCCCGGTGGCTGCGGCCCACGTGGGCACTGTGGCTAGACATCACGTGCTTGCTCATTTCCTGCTGGAAAACCTTTTCTTTAAAACTGGACCCCATTTGTTTTTTACAAGATTAAGCACTTCATTCGTCACCTTTTCGTTTCCTGTCTATACTTCCATCACGTAAGTGAAAACATGGATGCGTAGCCCCCTTTTCTTTCGGGACTCGGCCGTGAAGAAACCCTCTCCAGAGTATGGAGGCACTCGTTGGCTTTCTCCTTTCTTGTATTATGTACCATCTCTCCCGGGAGAGGGGCACGGGCACTCCCTCGAGGACTAACGGCACAGCCCACCCGGCCTCAGCGAGCAAGGCACGGGCTCTCACCCACCGCCGTGCGGGGAGAACCGAGGCCTGAACCTGGGCCTTTGGCACGGAGCTTCGGCGTCACGAGGCGGCGTTGCCGCTGCCCGAGGGTGCATTACCGCACCTCCACTGGTGTCTGCGGTCTGAGCGCTCAGCCATGTCTTAGCTGCCGTCTGTAAGTAGAACCTGCTTTCCTTTCCTAAGGGCTGGCCGGGCAACCCTTGACTTTGAACTCCCACCTTCACCACAATGGGCAAACAGCTCAGAGCACGATTCGTGGGAGTCCTCCGGCCACAGGCCCCGGGCCCAGACCACACACCCCTCCACGGCGCACCTCCCGTGAGAGTTCCCGCAGCCACGCTGGTTGTAGGTAGCTACTCTGTAAGAACCACACCCCTTCCTCATGAAATAGTAAGCCGGCTCACACAGGTATTTTGAAATAACCTTCTGAGATTCCAGCTACCTAGGAACTAAGAGAGAGCCTCTGGAGTGCGACAAGGTAGAAGTGGCCTGAAAGACTTTAGCGATCCTCCAACAACTACTGAAATCTATATCGATTTTTGCGTGTAACCGGTACATTCTCAGAGTTTAAAAAATATGCCATAAGACTGTTTACCATGATTGACTTTTTATTTAAAAAATTACAGGGAGTGATTTCCAGCATGTCTTATTTTATAAAAGTACTGCCTGTATCAAACATTTTATATCACTGGTAATTCCACTGAGAGCTGCCTCTTTTCCAGGTGCTAATTTCAGCTGAGGAGCTACATGCCCTTGAAATAGAAAGTTTCCACTATTTATTCAAATGTCAAAATTAAGATTATTGGGAAGTTTATTGCTTTATGGCTGGGCAAGATGCTACTGCACATTTTAGGTAAATAATATTCTTTATTAAAAAGTACGAGGTCATTCTGTTTAAAACTTTCAGGGTGATTCACAGAAAATAGACATATTTATTCAAATTACACACTGAAGGCTGGGCTACTAGCTATAGATACTTATATGTGAAGCAGCTCTGTGACAAACAGAAGATGCACAGAGAGGTCTGTCTTGATACACTGTACATAATCGAAACGGGCAAAATCTGGAAGACCGACGTTGTGATGCTAGTTCTGTTAGGATCTTTGAAATAAAAACAGAAAAAACCACACATTTAGTAGTCCACTTGTGCTTAACATATCCGTATGCAGGAGCTTAAAGAAAACCCCTCTGTACATGGTGACCCAAAGAGAGTCATACATTTTCTGAGATTGCACTGTTACTGGGACCAGGCCCCACAGCCAGCCCCGCCCTCGCGGTGGCCACAGGCTCCAGGCCTAGTTGGCAGCCTGGGGAGGCCCCTCGGGGATCAGCGAGGTGAAGAAGGTGGTGACGAAGGACCAGGCCGCAGCCATGAGCCCTGGCCCCGGGGCCGCACGGGCGTCCTCCCCAGTCTCGTCCTCCAGTCCGTTGTCCATGAGCCGCTCCTTTCAGACAAAACGAGAAACGCCCTCCTGAGTGCCGCGGCCAGTGGGTGCGAACGCGCGACAGGAGAGGGTGCGTCCTCTCTGGGGAACGCAGACAGGGCACACAGAGCACGCAGCAGGACGCAGTGGAGGTGTCTAAGTCCACACGGACAAACTCTCCAGGGTTCAGGGTGAAAAAAGACATCTGCCAAGCAGGTCCAGGACGCTGTCGCCAGGGGCGACTCCCTCCTGGGCCCCTCGCAGGACACACGCTGTCCTTCCCGCGTGGCTCTGCACAGCGGGTTCCGCGCCACCCGGGGCCTCTGCAAGGACACGAGCTGTCCCTCCAGGGCCATTTCCCAGACACGCCCAGGACAGCCGGCTCGCCCCTGCAGGCCCACGAGCTGAGGCAGCGCCACGGCCCAGCAGGGAGCCCACGTACCATCTCCTCCAGCTCGAGGTTGCGTGCGTTCTGCCCGTCATCGCCCTCGGCGTTGTGGGGAGCCTGCTGCGGGCCACCTTCCTGCCTGAAAGGAAACCATCCAGCTTGGTGTCTGCTCGGCAAAACAGCGAGAGAAGGAGGTGAGGCACGGCTCCGTGTAACTGCAAAACCCACGTCCCACGTGACAAACACCGTCCCCTTCAGGCCAGGGACTTCCCTCCTCACTGGGTAGCAGGACCAGCACCAGCCCCACCGGGGCCTCGCGGGGCCTCGCTGGCGGGGGACATAACGGGGTCACCGAGCTCTGTGGCATTTTTCAAAATGAAAAACAATTAGATGTTTGTCCCTTGGGGAGATGGGGGCAGACTGGTCTACTTGAAATGACTGACCTCTCACTCTGGACCTCACTGTGGGTCACGTAACCCTAACGGGCGTCCCCACGAAGAACGCGCGCACACCCCGGACGTTCTAAACGGACAGAGCTCGGCTCGCGGTTTCCATGAACTCTGCACGGAAAACTGGCTTCCAGACAGCTCCGATACTCTGGCTCGACACCCTGCACTAGCTCTCGGTGTCAGAAGCGTGCCAGACACTGGGCCCGGCGCCGTGGCCTCGAAGCCACGCGCACTCACAGGTACAGCAGCAGCATGGCACCCATGACCACGACGAAGCGGCTGAAGGAGGAGTAGAAGTACATGATGCCGAGCAGGACCGCGGCCCGCGAGAGCGTGTACAGCCAGTCCAGCCAGTCCCGGTTCCAGTCCTCGTCCAGCACCGGGCCCCCCTGCGCGTTCATCGGCACATCCTCATTCACAGGCCGGTCTTCCTGGGCCGCCAGGTCTGGTGCTGCCGCGGCTTCTTCTCCGGGAACGTGTGCCAAGTTTAGCGGCTGTGACGCAGCAGGCTGGGCTGGGCCGGCGTTCGGTGTGGCCTGAGCGGAGACTGCAGCTTGGCTGAGACAGTCACCAAAATAAATATTAAGAGGAACAACTTCACCACACTGTGATAAACCCTTAGCCCCGGCAGCTCTGTCCTCTCACGACCGACAGTGCACACCACGGGTCCTACACCACGTTCGCTACGTGGGCCCCAGTCCCAGCGAAAAAGTGGACCCCAGGCACCAGCAGATGGCGTACTGGTTAGGTCACGGCTCCCACAGAGTCAACCCAGTTCAGGTCCTGGACCCAGTGGCTTAAACTCACACCGGGCATGTGTGCGTGCGTGCCCCAAATCCCAAGAGAATGGAGAAGGGATCGTGGCACGGCCATCCCCCTGGGGGGTGATTTCTTGCTTTCTGTCTCTCCATCTCTCTACCAAGCACTCGCGCCCTGTAGCAAACAGCTCTCTTAGGGAAGACAAAGTGGAGCCCAGGTAAACGGCAGGTACGGCTCCAGAAGGGCTGTTCTCCCGGCTGCTGGGCCAAGCAGGAGGGAAGAGTGGGAGCGAGCCCACAGCGGGCGGCCTTGTCCCCTCCACTGCGCCGACTGCGAGCCGACGGAGCTCCCGGCCTTCCACAGACGGCCCTTCCGCCGTGCCACACGGGATGGGCAGGGCACTCGCTCGCCCACCTCTGCCTCAGACACGCCTGGGACGACCTGTTGAAAGCCGTGCATCGGGTTTTGCCCTGTCTCCACTGTCAGTGATAAACTGTCTGTATGTCCGCATTTGGCAATATTCAATACACCCCATGAGCCCATTCTGGTCCTCGGAAACTCCAACGAGAGGCCACTGGTCTTCCCCAAAACACCCCCGCCTCGCGGTGTCCTGAGGCTCGCACGCCATCTTAAAGTGAGCCTGAGGCTCAGGGGCTGAATGGTGAGCCTCTGACTGCGATCCGGGGCTCGGCCCCACCGCGCTGGCCTCGCCGCTCGGGGTACGGGCCAGGCAAAGGCTGGGCAGCCAGGAGAGGGCTAAGCACGTGCGTCACCATGGCCACACGCAGGGTACGGCAGGGGGGCCGGGGGGGCCTAGGTGAGGCCCCTACCGCTGCAGCCCTCGGGTTTCAGGTTTCCCACGAGAGAGGAGATGCGGGAGAGGCCCTGACAGGAGGAAAGGCTCCGGAAAGAAGGTAGATTTAAAATGAGAAAAACACGAGAGAAGATCGAGGCAAGATCTGGAGGTGGGGCGTGGGAGGACAGAGGCTCAGGTGGCCCATCCACATGTTGCTGGGTCAGACTCTGATGGCGGTTAGGAGCTGGGCGACAGTTCACAGCGGATGGCATCACTGCGCATCACAGAGGAGGGGACCGAGACGTGCTGCATCCATGGAGGAAGCCCCACACGGAGCATAGGGAGTCCCCTGCAAAGGGTAACAATTCGGGCCACAGGAGCGGGAAGCCCGAGAGGCTGAGGGAGTGGGAGCCTACGGATACCCGTGGTCCCCAGGGAGTGAGAGCCTATGGATGCCCGTGGTCCCCAGAGTGCAGCGTCACCCGAGAGGAGGGAAGATGGGCCACCACAGGATGCAGAGAAGGGGACCAGAGAACAGTGGGGAGGAGGGCGGTGGCAGGAGCAGAGGGCACTGAGGGCACGTGCTGGAAGGGCAGGGGAGGGCCGGGGACAGCGCTGGGGCGAGCGTGGCTCCACGGGGACGGGCAGGACTTCCTGAGACACAGGGCCTCCCTGCCTTTGTGGGCCTGTCTCACTCGCCGTGCAGGCGTGCTGCCTTCCCTCGAGTTCACACGGGCCACGAGGGAGCACCTGAGCCACAGAGGGGGCCGGGTCGGTTCAACGTGACCCCAGGGGCCCTTGCTCTCCAGCCACCGCTGAGACTGTGGACGCCGCTCCTGATGGCGCCAGAGCCACCCAACACGGGCACGCCTCCAACCCCAGGCCCACGGCTCGGCACGGAAGGGAAGGCGCGGCGGGCGTGACTCACTATCGCAGGTAATACTGGTGCGCGTACAACTGCTGCCACCACAGCATCTGCAGGGGGCTGAGGGCGGGGTACGCGAGCCCCGGCGCCGCGGCCTGCCCGGGAAGCTGGTTGTCCACATGCCTGCAATGAACAAAGACCAGGTCCCATGAGGCTCTCGAACTTAAAAGCATTTCTCTAAGTCTCATCTCTGAACTACAAGTCAACCACTGACAAGTAACATTTAAATTTCACTGAAAAGAAAAATGCCTATTTTCCAAACAGGGGTCTTCCAACAGTTCAGAGACAGTACATATTATGGAAACCATGTATGATTTCAAAACTTTGTAACAAAATAAACTTGGATTGGGCGCATGGCACCAGGCAGGGTGGGGCAGGGCAGCGTCCCAACGTGTCCGAGCATGAGGAGCTGCGGTGCTACGTCCATGTGCAGGCCGGGGCAGGCCGGGGCAGGCCGGGCCAGGCAGGGCTGCACGTGCAGGCCGGGGCAGGCCAGGGCCGGGCACCTCTGACCAGACCGAAAGGCCACCTAAGTCAGTGCTACCGGCAATACAAGGCCATGGCTGGGGATACGTGCATTTTACATATACATATATATTTGCTGTTGTTGAGAATTTTTCTGTAGGATATATGAGCTCATCAGAGAGACAGAAAGCAAAAAATCACTCCCTGGGGGGATAGCCATGCCACAGTCCCTTCTCTCGAGATTTTGGACACACATGCACATACACCTGGTGTGAGTTTCAAGTCGCCAGGTCTGGGACTTGAACTACAGTCCACCATGTGGGAGTCCAGTGCCTTAGCCACTATGCCACATGGTGGCCCCAGCTGGTGGAGACAGGGCGGTGTGCCAATCTCTACCACTAAGAAATAACCCTCGTTCAAGTCCGCTATTTAACTAGGAGATGGCAAGGCGGGACTTGATCACTGTTTTAAACATCAGTAAGGGAAGAAATGGCCACGGGCACTATTTACATCTTCTGTAGCTCCACACCTTACCTGTACAGCCTGGGGCCCAAGGTGACGACTGAAAATGTGTCACCAAAGGAGAACAGCAAACCCCCAGGTGGCTCTGTCACGAGTCCTCCCTTCCTCTCCAGGAAGGTAAAACCACGGGCTGTGTGACCACGGAGACGCGGTCCAGGCTGAGCTGACATGTAACTCCCTGTGCGTCATCACCCTCAGATGACATGGCATGCATTTGGCATCTCCAGAAAACAAGAAATACATTTTATTTTATTTTTTTTTTGGAGAGGTTTTTGCTATAGGGCGCGTCCATTCGCCAGACAGACAGAGAGAGAGAAAGCGAGAAATCACCCCCTAGGGGGGATGGCCACGCTGCAATCCCTTCTCCTCCATTCTCCTCTCGGGATCTTGGGCACGCACGCACATGCGCCCGTCGTGAGTTTAAGCCACCGGGTCCAGGATGCGAACCGCAGTCGACTACGTGGGAGTCCAGCGACATAGCCGGTCCCAAGAAATACATTTTGATACTAGATTATAATGCTACTATTAACGTATACAAGAATAGACAGATCAATGAAGCGCATTACCTAAGAATTTAATACCTTACAGAGGACGCATCCTTTTCTATTGGAGAACCCCTCATTAGGGCCCTTTTCCTCCAACTGCCCACTCATCAGAACCCTGGCCTCACACGTGCCCCGCATGCTGCCACTGGGGCTGGATTCGAACCACGGCTGGCCGTGTGGGATCCAGCTCCCTCTGCCTCATGGGAAGTCACGTGCTGGCCTGCCCAAGGGACGCCTCGTTACAGGAAGGAGAAAGTGACCGCCAGATGGGCTGTGGGGAGGAAAGGAGTCCAAAAGTCCACCTCGTCTCACGTAGCACAGCAAGCTTCAAACGACTACAATAAAGTTGTAAAGAGTTAGCACCGTCTAGAAGGAACTAGAACGATCCACCCAACCTTTGGAAGGAGAGGAACTTCCCTAACTTACAGGCAATAGAAGAAAGCACAAGAAAAGCAGTCAGTACATTTGAGGATAAAGACAGGCTTAGGGAAAACAAATAAATAGCAGTGTCACTCCCAGAGAGAGCTCTCAGAACACAGACGTTCATAAACACGCCAGATGCCGATCCGAGCAAAGGCGGCTGCTTTGTTTGCCGGCCAGGGAAGACCAACTGAGACCGTCCAGGGCCGGCGAGGGGACAAGCGTGCTCAAGCCTGTCGTTGGTGGAGGCGGCATAAACTGGGCGTAAGCCTTTCCACAACCTTTAAATATGTTTCCATACCCAACTGCCCACCTGCTTTTAAAAATTAACTTAGAGAAATAGGAAATGAGGGGAACCAGCAGTTAGCGTAATGGCTATGTCGCTGGACTCCCACGTAGCCAACTGTGGTTCGCGTCTCGGACCCGGTGCCTTAGAACTCACGCCAGGTTCGTGTGCATGTGTGCCCAAGATCCCGAGAGAATGGAGGAGACGGGATTGCGGCGTGACCATCCCCCCTGGGGGGTGCTTTCTCGCTTTCTGTCTCTATGTCTCTGTCTGTCTGGTGAGCGCATACGCCCTATAGCGAAAACCTCTCCAAAAAAAAAAAAGAAATAGGAAATGAGAATCAAACTGCACATCTTGGCCTCCTCAGAATCTACGCATCCCTGCGCTCCTAGGAGCCACTGGGAAACCTACTGCCCCTCCCAGCCCCCGGCCCAGCGCACAGAGAGGGACAAAGACAGGAATGGTAACCAGTAATAAGGACCCGATACCACAGCGCTCATCACCATGCGGACACTGCCTGGGCCCGACCGCAGCACGATGGTCAATGGAGCACTCCGAGGCATCCAGGAGGAAGGGCTCCTGGTTCAAAGCCACAGGCCTCCCTGAGTGTGCCTGACCCAGGCCCGGATGGAGGCTGGGGCAGGCTCTGTCCTCGGGACTCTGGGGGGACTGTCTCTGTCTCTTTCTCCCCTTACTGATGGAGACAATAGACTCTGAGAGACAAAGGAACCGCCTGTGACAGCGCTGACTGCCTGGCCTGCCTGCTCCGACCCCTTCCTAGTCCTGGGACCGGCCCTCTGCAGATGCTCCCAGAACAGGACGAGGCAGGGGGTGCGGCTGTCTGGAACAGGGCGGTCGGGCGTGTCGCACGCGGGACTCGGCAGAGCCAGAGAAGGAAGCGCTCCAAGCCCTGTCCGCGAGCAACCTCCGGAGAGCAGTGAGGTCCATGTACAAGGCTGCAAAACGTGTGATGGGCCGCCTATCATGGGCCGGTAGACAGGGTCTGTGTACATGCGTGTCCATGTGTATGTAGCTTCCCATGTATTTTCCACAAAGAGATCATGGAAAAATAACAACCAAGAGCTCAGAGATAGAAACAACGAGGTGCTCTGCTGTGGGGGCCAGGCCGGGGCGGGAGGCCTCTCCCGGTGCGCCCTCTGACACCAGGACCGTGGTGTTTGGGGCAATTAAGGAAAAAGGCGAAATCAAAAAGAAAACCAGCACACTATAAAACCAGTGGAACCAACCAACTCGAGTGTCATGTTTAATAGTGTGGTCCCACAGAATTACCCTACTGGCTGAAACACAGTATTCTATCGATGTGCTCCCGGGTTACACCCTAAAGATAAAAAGGCCAAACTCCTGCGCACTCAGCGGTCCGATCAAAGTGGAAAGTGTGCTGCTCTTTCCAAACTACCTAGGGGCCAGCCAGTGGTGTGGTGGCTAAGGGCCAGAAGCCACGTGACTGCTCAAATCCCGGGCCCAGTGGCTTGGAAAACATGCCGGGTATGCGTGCACGTGTACACGAATACCCCTGCCCAAAGGCGAAGAGACAGGGCACCCAGAGGGGAGGGCTGCGGACTGAGAAAGGACAGAGATGAATGCAGGCCCGGGTGGCCGGGTCCCTCTGCTGGAGAACGCCACGGCCCTGAACTGTTCCTGCCCCTTCTCGTCCAGGAGATAAAGCCTGTGCTTTCTACGCTGACTGCAGCTCCAGAGCATCTGAGCCGTCTCCCGGGCCTCCCTCGGCCTTCCCCGGCCTCCCCCGGCCTCCCCCGGCCTTCTCCCATCTGTAAAGTCCAGCGGTAGGCTCTGTCTTTGCTCAGAGCTTCCGCACGCCCTGCAGCGGAGCACAAAGACGGTGCCCACTTTAAGGTGCTCCCTGCACACTAACCCCGAAAGCAGGGACAGGGAAGGAGAGAGGACTACTGTGTGGCCATCCCCCAAGGGAAGTCCCCTCACTTCCTCTCTGTCTCTCTCTGGTGAGCACAGGCACCGTGCCTCTGGCAGTTATTTATAAAAATTTGTTGCATTAATACTGTTTGAAAAAAATAATATATATACACATACATGTAAGTAAAACAAGTAAGTAATTATGCTAATTCATTACAAAATAAGATTTTCAATATAGAAGATATACAAATACACAAATCAAGTGGCATGGTGGTTAAGGAGGTGGACTCCCACACAGCCAATCACAGTTCGAGCCCCGGACCTGGTGGCCTGGAACTCACGCTGGGCACATGTGCTGTGTGCTCAAAATCCCAAGGAGAAAATGGAAGAGAATGTCTGTCCCCGCTGGGGAGTGATTTCTCACCGTCTCTCTCCAGCAAGCTCACAGGCCCGAAGACAAAAACGTTTAAAATACACACACACACACACACACACACACACACACACATATCAAAGATGTATTTTAAAAATCCCTTAACCTTTAACCTAAATTTGAACTCACACTTTTTTTTCTTTTTTCTAAGAGACACATTTTGGGGTCAGCTGGTGGGGAAGTGCTTAAGGCATGGATCCCACATGGCCAACTGTGCGTTTCGAGTCCTGAACCGTGTGGCTAAAAAGGCACGGCAGGTGGGTGTGCAGGTGTACTCAAATCCAGAGAGGAGAATGGAGAAGGCACCGGTCTGCCACCCCGGGGTCATTTCTCATGCTCTCTTCCCCCCTCCCAAGTGCATGTGCCACACAGCAAAGACTAAACACAAGCAAGACCTATTCTTATCTCTGACCACTGAACCATGGGGACGTCAGAACTACGGAGCAATGCGAATTTCTTGGCATCCCAGCCTCTCCTATTTCTTGTCGGGGCTCCCCAGGGTCAGGGTCGAGAGGTGCTCCGGAGCCTAGGTCATTACAGAACATCACTGCCATCGTAC